TGAGTTTTATGAAAAACGTGATTTTCAAAACAAAAATAGGACTATAATATCGATATGAATTAATTTCATCACAAGATGCCATTTGTTTTTGTTCAATAAGAATTAATTTCTTTTAAAGGTACTTGGATACAGATTTGAAGTTATTATTTTCTCTATAATATTACGACTTATATACTTTAATAGCATTTCACACAAAAATTAATTAAAAATCTTATTTCGTTTAAAAGGTATTGAAATTTCAAATTTTTCGGCGGGTTTGATTACATATCCTTGCACTCTCACAAATTTAATTTTATTCTTAATCCTTAGGAAATGTGGCAATCTCGTTTTGTATAAATGAAAAATATTAATACTATAATCCAGAAAATTCAGAGTAGACACGTTCGAAAGCAAAACAAACACACAATATATTGTCAGTCCGTGCAGTTGTGGTAAGCAGACTGTGACGATTGAACGCACCCGGTGAATTCTAAATATAAACAATAACAGAACTCGAGCCCTGTTTACAAAAACTGTGTACATAACACGAGTGTTCTCGATTTGCTAAACTCTGTACGCATCTCTTAGTTCGGAATGACGATACTTGTGAAAGTGTTTTGCTTTCTAACATTTTTACTCTGAATAAAATTATTTTTCTTGATAAAAGTTTTAATATTTCTCATTAAAACACATCAAAATTGCCACTTTTCCTAAGGATTAAGAATAAAGTTAAAATTTGTGAAAGTGCAAGGATGTGTCAATCAAACCCGCCAAAAAATTTAAAGTTTTAATAACTTTTAAATGAAATAAGATTTTTAATTAATTTTTGTGTGAAATGCTATTAAAATATATAATTCGTGATATTATACAGAAAAAATGAGAAAATATTAACTTCAAATCTGTGTCCAAGTACCTTTAAACATGTTCCTTGATGGTTTCTCAACCATAATTTAGCAATACATGTACTGACAATGCCCCCATACATATAAGGAAAGAAAGTCTGGGGGAAAGTTTCACTGATGATCCTGATTTAATTTCTGACAAACAAAGTGATCCAGGAAAAAACATTACTACTGTAAAGTTTAGATATAACAGAACAAAAAAACTACGTTTTAACAATATGGTTGCCTTATTTAAAAGCCCTATTTTTCTAAAGGAAACACGGAAACTGAATGTGTCAAAAGGTAGGAATACTATACTCTTTTGACTCCCCTGCGGAAGCCAGAGAAAATTTAAAAAGTAAAAAGGCTTTATTTTTTACATACATGATTATTACTACTATCCAGGCATACTATTACATGTATAAGTATTTCTACTTAATCCGGTGACTATATATCAATCTTACTAATATTTGAAAAGGAAATCGTAAGATATTTAAATTTCGATTTTCTCAGACCTTTTTATATTTAAGACTTTTTTTGAGTGTTCTGTCTTGACCTATATATTCAAAACCTTTTTTGTCTACGTGTTTGTATGTGCCTTTTTTTCACCTACTGTGTTTTTAAAGAGCTTTATTTTTGTCACCTATATTTGAGACTTTTTTTGCATGTGTTTTATTTTCATATATATTCTGATCCTTTTTTGCGTGCGTTCCTTCTACAACTATACTTAAAACTTTTTATTATTGTCTGTATATTATTTTTTCAAATGAGACCATTTTTTAAATCTTTCGTCAATATATTAGTATTTTACCCCCCCCCCCTCCCCCATTTATTGTATACAAACTTGCTCTTACCTTTCAGATATTGTCCTTTAGATTTTGTCCTCTCTGCATCCTGTCCATCAACATTCTGTCCCCGCTTTTTTATTTCCTTTCTACATTTTGTTCTCGTTATATGATCTCATTTCTACATTATGTCCACGCTACATTATGCAGATCAAAGTGATGAAGAAGAAAAAGCCCTGTGATGCGGCATTACTAGAATTAGACTGTCCCCGGAACAGATGGCGGGTATTATCTGGTGAGTGAACTCCGGATTACAGTGGAACCGGCTCCGGTCTAACTTGTATTCATTGACCAGCATATTATAAAGGAATTAACGCAACAGTATTCATATTTGTTAAAAAAGGATCTAAAAGCAACAGATGGGCCCATTTGTTCCGTATAAAGACCCAGACCATTGGCGTCGGAAGCAAATTGAAAGGGGGGGGGGGGGGGCTAAGTGTAAAAAAAAAAAAATTGTACCTTCAAAAAATCCTGACAAGCAAAAAAGAAAAGAAAAAAAAAAAGGAAATGTCCATCTCCCAAACACGAAAATCCTATTTCGTGGGGAGGGGGGGGGGGGGGTAGGTTCGAACTTAAATTTTCAGTACCAAAATTTTTTTTTTTCCAAACGCCACCATTTTCCCCATTTTCAACCTATACTAAGACGTATCTGTGGAAAGTGGGGGCTAAACTTACGAAGATATGTTCAATGTCTATACTAAGTATATATTTGGGAAAAAAGTGGGGGGGGGGGCCCCCCCCCCCCCCCCCCCCCCCCCCCCCCCACCCCCCGGTTCCGACGCCTATGCAGACAGATTGCAGTGAGGGCACCACAGGGATGATACACTTTGTTTAAGGCTTAATTTTAGATTTTTTTCTTTTCGTAAATTTAAATTACTTGAAGTCAGTGCTGGTATTCAAATATGTTAATAAAACAGTTTAAGTTGTCGCGCTTGTGCCATTTAGTCAAAGATGTATGGTTTACGGATCAACAAACAGAAAAACTTAAATGAGGAGTGCATCTGCAAACATTTGTGTGAGATACATGTGAAGACTTGAAGGTTTGGAAGTCATGAAATTGCATTTAGAAGAGTAAAACCAGGCACAATAATAGTGGTATTGGTTAGTTATAAATGTTGTACCAAAATATGGCATTATGATCATACCATCCCGCTTGAAAAGTTGGAAAGTATATATTGATCGGGATGTCCGTCCATCTGTCCGTTCGTCCGTCTTTTACGCTTAAGGGTACCCATTTCTTATCCGCAACTCTTTTACCACTAAATTAAAACAGACCATAATAATATGAAGCATTCCTGTTCGTTGCTACTGAATGGACAATGCTTAAGTGAATGATTTCATTGAATGGAGGTCCCCCGACACCCAGTCATATGGTACTCAAGCCCGCCGTGAATGACTATATATTTGCATATATAATTTTCAAGTGTTGTAAGCGGTTCCGTGGTCTAGTGGTATGTCTCTCGCTTCTCGTGAGAGAAGCCCAGGGGTCGAATCTCGGACGTTCAATTTTCTTTTTTTCCCCCCGAAATACTTTTTTTTTTACTAAATGATAGTATTCAGCATGTGAAATGAACAATTTATGAGGTTTGGCTTGTACACACTCATAAAGTCATCATTGCAGTGTGATAAATATTCCATATAAAAAAATCTTCAATACACATAATAAAGAATAAGCAATCAAATCTTTATATCCATATTGGCATATTTTATTTGTTTCAGTATACATGTATACATTTATTAATTCTACAAATTCAGTCAGGGGGATCCGACTCCCCCCCCCCCTTTTTTTTCACAGAACTGCGCATGGTTTACTTTTTCCCTAAGCGGGGGACACAAATTCTCTGAATTAGCTTGTTTTCTATAGTATACTATATATTGGCAAAATTGTTGGCGGGGGCACCCCCCCCCCCCGGTTCCTACCACCATGGTACCGGGTACCGGCACGATGTATTTACTATATCTTGAGAGGAAATGTTAATGTAACTATTATATAGATGTAGGTCAAATTGTTAGAGCGTTAGATAAGGTGTCAATTAAATAAAGTCGTATTTACGATCATGCTGTAAGTCAGATATGCACTTTAAGCTCTGAGTCAATATGAAATGTTGCTTGACATTTTATATTCAAAGCAATAAAATGCTTATTGGCGTGTACTTTTACATACATACTTACACCGATGTATAACTCTGTCTGCAATATTATAAGATTTTAAAAAATATTTTGATACCCCCGCTTGAAAATTGGGAGGGTATATATATTAGTGGTAGGGATGTCCGTCCGTCTGTTACGCTTTGGGGGTACCTGTCTCTATTTTACGTTTTGATTCGACTCATATTTAGGGTTTCCTATTAGAAAGCATGGGCACTGCCATTCTTTCTATAATATTGAAGGGTACCCACTTCTTATCCGCAATTCTTCCTACACCACTGAATTAAATTTAAAGAGATTTCACAGAATCTTTCTTAAATAATGCTATTGAGACTTTTTGATCTGACACTTATCTTGGGCCTCCTAGAGCAAAACATGGAATTGGCATTTTAATCTTATGGAAGGCTGAGGGTATCATTTATTAGCTCACTGTTCACAAAATCTCTAGTTTTAATTTATTTATATGTTTATAATTTTTTGGTCAAAGGTAAAAAAACGTCTTATATATAATCTGTACAATTGAGGTCAATAAAATTAAATAAAGGTTAGATCTACATATAGTTACTGAAAGTAAATTTTTTTCTGAGAAATACATGATTAGATATGATAATCGTATACCAAGCCATGCTCTATAAATGGTAAATTTTAGGAAATCCATTAAATTTGTTTTCCTTTTTTTAAATGCCATCGTGCCTTAAAGTTTTCACAGTACGTACTATATGGCTCTATTTTTCCATTTGAATAAGTAGGTGTAATTAAGATTTGTCCTAAATTATATTGTAGTGGGTTTTTCCTTTTTAAGTATAAATTTAGGAAATATATAAAATTTTTTCGACCTATCTCAGAAAATAAATTCCTCTAAGTCAACTGTTCAGTATAGCGGATACCATAAATAGGGAGAATACTAGTAATACGACCCCACGACACTGAAATGATGTGTCATATGACATAGGTAAAAGAGAGAATAGAGCATTGAAATAGTGGAATTTATATACACTTTTTGATCTAGAGTAGATAACTTGTGTGAGTCTAATAGGAAGGGCTAGGCGCCTCTCCTATTGGTAGCGAAGGATTCAGTTTTTTTTAAATTATCATTTTCACAGACATAAAAAAGGAAATTCTATGTTAAAACGTAACAATAAATTTAATATCATTTCAACACAATTACATACATCTACATTACAGACAGACACACACTCATAGAGACTTGTCCACGGTGACTATCAAAGACCCCTTAGGGTCCCGGGCGAGTTGGACTGAGCGACAGTCAAAGTGGGGAGGAAACACGAGCTCTTTGACGAACAGTTCTGAGAGTTTGGCCTGCTTGACCTGCTGGGTCCTGGTGGCCTTTATTTTGAGCGTGTTCCCCTGTAACGATATCACGATGTCGTCCTTGTCAGGGAAAAAGTTCTCAATGGGGACATTCAGGACGACGGACTGGCGCCGGACGGACGGAAGTCGACCAATGTCCTTATAGGAGACGTCTGACCCCTCACTTATCCCCAGGACCTTAGGGGCCGGGCTCACAGACCTGGCAGCATTGCTGTACGTCACGGGGGACGGTTTGGCGGGGGAGGAGTCTGAGTTTACCTGAGATTTAGGGGACGGAGGGCAAGCGTGAGTTTTGGCAGAATTTGATTCAGGTAAGGATGGATTTTTGTCGTTATTGGAATTTATAGTTTTACAGTTAGACATGTTGGATGTGGGTGAGGTATCGGGTTCAGTGAGGTCAATATGTACCGTTTCTTCCTCTTCCTTTCCTGTACCGCGTGACCGGGTATTTCCGGTAGGGGGACACGACATCGCGCCTCTTTGATGACGTCGGTCTGCCTCCGCAATACCAGCCTCTGAACCACATTGATTTTCTGTCCCGTTTGTGGTATCGATTGACTCAGTCCTAAGCTTTTTGGCATTAATGTATCCCTGAGATTTTTCTGTACTTTCATTCAATTTTCTTTTTAAAGAACATTTTTGACAGCCTTCCCTGGCCGGGGTACGCTGATACGGGGCTTGAATCACCAACTTTCCGTCATCGGACACAAAGCTGGAAATATTGCACATGTCCACTCCCCTTGGGACAAACACTGTTCTTTTCAGCTGAAATCCTTTCTGGTCATTGCTTTTAATTTTTTCTGCTGTCACGGAAACTGTGTTAGAGTCCGAACAATTCACCTGAATTTCCTCCGGTTTGAATCCACTTAAGTCCAGCGAATGCTTCCAAACTTTCGTGTTTGTTTTTGACTTTGCATTAACAGGCCGAATTTTGTCCTTATTTTTGTTGAATATTGGGGGGACAACCCCCTCCAAATATTTTGGCACAATGATTTCTTTTAAGTTATTATTTACTTGTGGAACCTGCCGCTCGGAAGTTTTAATCTCTACCGGTAGCATCACTTAAAAAATAAAATTCAATCCGCTCCGATCCACTCTTCTTTAAAATCTGAACACACACACTATCTCTAATGTTTATAAATATCTCCGGCCTACGTCAAAGTGATCATTGACGTCACAGACACTTATCGACAAAACAGGTGCTTTACGAGCTAATGTAAAATCCCGAGTTCACACGAATGGATCTATTTTAGTCGTTTCTATTTCTCCCACATCTATAAATAGAATTCGCCTTCGAAACCATTGATTTATTTTTATGTTGTGAATGAAAAATCCTGGTAGGAACGATCAAAAGGAATATGATGATAATTAAGTGACGGATAGATCGTGAGACTGAGATCGGTAGGGATGTAGTGCGTGGGGTGATCTCCGATTGAATCCTCGCCCACGCTCCCTCGATTTCGTGCTGTCAATAGGTTAACCTTGTACTGTGTGGGTTGGCCTACTAATACTCGCTGGCCAATCCCGCTGTCCCTACACAACTTTATTGTACAAACTGCACTCACGGCTATAGTTTTCTGTGTTAAGACCTTAATCATAAGATATTGTTTTGGTGATGATCAATTTTTTTTCGACTCATAATCGGATGGGAAGGTCGAGTTCAGCGGTTAGAGTGCTGTAACCAGTATGAATGTGTGTTATAAATAAAACGTAAGTTTAAACTTGAAGTAAATAAAAAAATAAATAGACGAATCCAATAAATAAAAAAATAAATAAATAAATCATTAATTAAACAAAATAAATATCAATAAATAAATAAATATCAAATAAATAAATAAATAAATAAAATAAATATTAATAAATAAATCTAAAGCGGTATAATAGAAATAGAGGAATCAAAATATGTTTGTGTTATTTATGATATTAATTTAAATAGGATATTCTTAATTAAAAAAAATACAAGCAATATAGGGCCTAATTTCATACTTATTCAAAATTAACAAAACTTTTATATTTCTTAAACAATTAATTATACGCTTAAATTTGTAAAAGCATTGTTTAGGGGTAATCAATGACGTCCATAATATAGAGAATTATGTATGTTTTGGTTTTTTTTAGATGTATAATAATGCCCATCTCAGACTTGTAATCATATCTGTGTGTGTGCAACGAATATCTCATAATTTTAAGTTTCCTTATCTTATTTTGATCGGAAATGTATAAAGTATGCCCCCGCTGATAGGCTGTGTGAGCTTAAATAATGTAAAATACAATAAAGGCTTAAAAGGGGATGTCTTCGTCTAACCAACCTACCAACCCCCAATTCTAGCCTTTATCAAAAAGTTATAATCAATTATTCTGTGCTTCCACAAAATGAAAAATTCACTTCTTAATTAACGATTCTTAGTTCTCTACCCGTAAAGGTACCATCCCTTTATACCACTTGGTTTATATGAAACATTATTTTCTAATTACGAAAGAAACTGGAAATTCCTTTTCGGAATGGAATTCTTCTTCGAACGACATTACTGAGCAAAAGAATTTCACTAACGTCACCTGCTTATCTTACTGTGAAATAATGATATATATTCCTGTGTATAATATGTTAAAGGTTTATGTATGTAGGTATAATATGTTTAAGTTTTAAGTATAGGTATACTCCAGATAGTGTAAAGCTTTATCTTCGAGGTGTCGGTAAAACGACCTTTACTGTAAACCAACTTTTGTTCGCTGTGTAAATAAATTATCGTAGAAGACAATGGTAATAAGAAGTTTGCCAGTGCATTGAATCTGAAAGTGTAAATGAGTGCGTTTCTGAGGAGAGGGGGTACTGTAATTCGGAGTTAGATACCTTGTGTTATTATTATACTATAGGTAAAAAAATTATTTCCGAAACAAGTGCCTGTGATCTGAATACACAGATCTATTCTGCAGTACTTTAGATTTTGCTTATTTCATGCTTGTTATATTGTATATGTATTCATCTGTAAGTGTTTGTAGTGTTTGTGGCTTTATGTCGACATATAATTGCATAGATTAGGTCAAAATTTAAATATAGGACAAGGTAGGGTAAAGGCCGAATCTGGCCCCATATTTCAGTTATTTGATATAAAAATCAGAACACTGGTAAAACTATGAAAGTTTGCTGTTAAGATTAAAATGACGCTTGCTACAAAATCAGCACTAAGATTCAAAGCATACATGGAAGCCACTGTAGGGTGTAGAAGTAGGACATTTTCCCGAATTTCATCAATTCTTGTGGAATTTCATCATATTTGAGATATTTTTCTCTTGTGCTCTATGTTTTCCGAAACTAAATATGCTGTAAAATCGATGAAAAATTGCATAAAAATGAGAAAATTCGAAATTTTCTGACCTCTCTGTGACCTCTGTGTATTCCAAAACTTAGAACCAATACTCATTTTGTAGCATGGGTGACAACAGGTTTTAAGGGATAAACTGTTGCATCATTCTGAAAGGCACCCAAAATTAGGGCCTATATGAGAAAAAGTCCCGAGAATCATTCTTTTAGACTTTTATTTTATTGTGTTGGTTTGTTCTGATCAAATTCCAAAAAACGCTTACTTTAAATCTATACGATCACAGTAAAATTGTAAATTTGGATTAATAAACTTTGAACTCAACAAAAGTGTTACCATTGGCTTACAATACTATTAACAAACTTTTAGTGGACTGTGAAACATTCAAAGTGAAAATTAACTTAGTTCATTGTATTTGTCTGTTCCCCATCTAGTCAGTTTTCTGAACAAATATTGTTTAAATCAAACAATCAAAATTAAACAATTACACACATACATGATTGCGCATTTCAGTTATGTTGTAAATTCTGAAATTTCTAAGAAAGGGCAAGGTAAATGCAAAAGTTACCCAATGTAAATTTTGCATTTACCTCCCCTAGTAAATTTAAAATTCACAACGTGATATGTCATAATTTGTACCGAGTAACATGATATACGACATAGATACTCCGGTGCGTTCTGTTTACTATCTCCTATCTGCCGCTGCAGGCTTCCTTTAGCGTGGGTAGACTCCGATACAGGTAGAGGAGCGCTGTTCCTCTGCCTTGGTACCTGCTTTATAATTATCACCTGGAAGTTAATGTCATTTCAAAAGGTCAGGACGGCAAAGAAAATATTTTTTCTGTGCTGCTGGAAAACAATTGGTTTAGAAATCCCACGTCTTACGCGGGAGAGCAATCCACCCCCTCCTTTCCCATAGAGCTCACTGTGACTGAACTAGAGCTTTTGATGCAGTATGTATATAATATTGCTTTATAAAAATACTGTTTATTGATTTCATTTAAAACATCAGAACATTAAAATGTTTATCTCACATTCATGATCATTTTTGGGTATAATTAATCAATTTAGCATGATAGATCATGTAAAAATTAAAAAAAAATATTACTAGGCCATGCAATGTCAGAAATTTGTTCAAGATATGACAATTCTTTCCCAATAATCTTTTATACAAAATAAAGAATTCAGTCATCATCTTCTGTTTAATCTAAAAAGAACGAGAAGACAATAATAAATATCGAAGTAAATGTCACCCTTGATCATTCCTTTTTTACATTTGCCCCACCCCCACCTTTCGACCTTTACTTGTAATTAATTAGGTTGTGCAAGAGTTTTTTTCCTCTGCAAACTTATTTCATCCCCACACTACTGGTTATGAGTTGAGTCTATAGCAGTAAACTCTAAGATGAAATTAATGAAACGAAAATATATTCGAAACCCAGGATGAGCGAAACATTTACATCTACATCTCTTTTATCTACAAAGAAATAATATAATTTTAGTTGTAACACGTTTGAAACAATTTTTGGATGGAAAATTGTTTTATTAACTACGTGAATCAGATGTGGATGCTCAAAAATTCCAAAAAAAACTTTTGGACAATTTGAAATAACAAAATTTTACCAAAATCAACAGCTTAAAAACTTAAGACTACAACTTTATACACAACCATTCCCCACGATAAATTAAAGTCCAGGCTTTTTGATATCATTGAGAGCTACTTTTTTCAATAAATATGGAACTTGTAAATTTACTTACCTGGTCATTGGTCATTTGCAAAATTATTTTGTTGAATCACATTCTGATTGACATACACGTATCTGAAGTTGACATCAAAATGATGAGTTTCTGATTCACAATATCTATGTGGTTTTTGGAGACCAGGTCTTCCAACAATCTGTTGGAATTCCTATGGGTACCAATTGCGCTCCGTTATTAGCAGACCTATATTTTGTATTCATATGAAGCAGAATTTATGCAAAATCTTTTTTGTGAAAAGAAGAAAACACTTGCTGTGGCCTTCAACTCGACATTTAAATATGTCGACGACGTATATATTGTCAATTAAAAATGGTCAAATTCCATTCTTATGTAGATACGATTATCACGATATGTCCTGGTGAGCTTGAGATAAAAGATACCACAGAGTCTGACGCATCTGTTTCATATTTGGATATTTTACTTGAAAAAGACGTTAATGGCAATCTAACAACCAAGCTCTATGATAAACGTGATGACTTTAACTTTTCTATCGTCAACTTCCCTTACTTATGCAGCAATATACCTTTATCACCTGCATACGGAGTTTATGTATCTCAGTTGATTCGATACGCAAAAACATGCTCTACGTATAAACAACTACTAAAACGAAGTAAATTATTGATAAAGAAGTTGATAAAACAAGAATTTCACCAGTCTTGTTTAAAGTTATCATTTCGTAAGTTCTTTGATCGATACAATGACCTTGTCAACAAATACAATTTATCATTGAGTCTGTTGAAAGATCTGGTCTCCGAAGACTATATATAGATGACAATGAAGAAATTTACTTCCTTCTAATATCAATTTTATAGGTATTTAATGGAGTTTCATTGTGATTTCAACAAAGTAATTTTGTTGATGATTAATCAGGAGAGAAGAAAATTTCTGACTCTCATTTTTATTGAAGAAGCAGTTGTCAATGAAATTAAAAGAAACCTAGTTGTGAATAATATTAGTAGTTGTATAAAATGTGGAAAGTCGAAAAATTTGATTTTACTGACATAAAAAAATGGTAATTTTTAATTTTTGAAAACTTGAGCTTTTGATCGCATGATTTTAAGCAATTTCTAGAATATAGTGTTCTACAATGCAGGTGGAGTTTCTACTTTACATCATTTCATATTTTTGTTATTAATGAACAGGGCCTGATTAGAGCAATTAAGGACGCGGTAATGTGTCTTTGTTTTCATAAGGATTTTATGAATCCTGTATATAGAGCGTAGATCGAAGTCACCTTGGTTGCTTGGAGTGTAACTGACTAAAAAATAGATTTTCAAATTTCGGAAAGTTCTTTGAGTTT